TCAGTTTTCTACATATCTATCGCTTCACTCCGCAACAAGTGGTGCCCCTTCCGGCCGATTTCACCAGCAACACGAACTCTGTACCGAATCCTATTCATACATGAAAAAACTAAACTTTTTCAAAAGGATAAAATGCTCAAATGTTTAGAGAAATAACAAAGTGGACACGACTAAAATTCAATGGGTTTGGTGTACAGTAATCATCTCATCTCATTCAACAAACACATTTCCAAGTTTTTCTCAGCTATACAAAAGAGTATACAACATGCAGACAAAGTGTACAAAAACTCATAAGGAATTTTGCATTAGTGAATTTTGCAGTTTTTCACTGATCAACAAACATTTACGAACCAGCTTTTGAAAGTTGAAATCAATTTTCTTAATTTCTATCTTTGTTGCTTTCGAAATAAGGTGAGATTTTTGCTATGCTTCTATCAATATCGAATTTGATAGTTTTGATATTGCTAAATTTCAATATCGATGGTGTAATCTATAAACATGTATACCTAAGACTTTAATATTACGCCATTTCCTTAACTTCTTGCTTTCTTTATGTCTTATAGCTTTTTTGTTCATGAATGAGACCTTCCTCGACTTTTATTCTATTCCTCACATTCTTTTGCTCACCAATCTAAGTGCTTGCAACTCAACAAACGCTTCGGTGTCCGATGGATGGGATATAAATGATGTTTTGCTTTGGAACTTTTGTCAAACAGTCATTTTTGATTATTTCTATTGGCAAACAGCAAGAAAGTGAGAATTTGAAATGAGATTTGATGAAACTGAGAATTGACGCTGTTCCTGGTTTGCTTGGCAGAGCAAATGCAAGCGATGTTCAACGATGTAAGCGATGCTCAAGTGAAAATCAACTACAACGTGCGGAATTTCGCTCAACGGTAGTTAATGCAACTCACTTTGATTAAATTTTTGGTTGCACTAACAGTTTTCGTTTCTCAATTCGTATATCAATCTTATATTTCATGAATTTATGTTAGTCTAACAATTACAACAACACCAAAAAGGTAATCATTTTGTGTTCCTTGCTTACAAATAAATTTTCCTATTCTCTAATTTTTTTTTCTTTACGTTAACTTTAGTTGCATTTGAGGTTTTTCAATCAAGCCTTTTTGTTAACTCTAATGAGCATTATAATAATAATAATAATACTTTATTCAAACGATAAAGTGAAAGAAATCATAGAGAAATGCACAGTGATACTTAATCATACAATACATACTGAAATCAATAAGCCAATTACTTACGGCAAAGAGCCACTAGATCTAAAGCATCGATACGTTTTTCTTGAATATGAAAAGCGACTGAATTTCACGTATGTCGTTTGGGAGCAAGTTCCATAATCTAGCGGCTCTAACGGGAAATGAATTTGATAAAGAGGCATTGGAAGCAAAGGGAATTTGCAAAAGGAATGAGCCACTTCTGGGCCCTGACCGCGGTTTAAATTTGAAAAAGTCTATAAACAAAGGGCTAATCTGTTTACAACGGAGGATTTTGAAAGTTTCGACTAAATCAATGACAAAGCGACGATGCTGTAAAGTTTTTAGTTCAAAAAAAGCAAGTCTCTCCTCATAAGTAAAGCTAGAATATTTAGAATAGTCAATTTTCCATAAAGCGACTTTTGTGAACCTCCTCTGAATTTTCTCCAAGCGTTCAATAAAGACTTGTGCGCGGGGAGACCAAACAATAGAATCATATTCTAAGATGGGCCGGAAATAAGTCGTCAAGCATTTGCGGTAAGAGTTTAGGTTAGGATGAACAATTGATTTGAGAATACGGCTAGAAACAAAAGAAGCTTTTCGACAAATGATTTCAATATGTTTAGTGAAATTAAAAGGGGGAGAGATGTGGACACCTAAATCTCTAACAAAATCTAATTTACTAATGTAATTGATAGGAATATTGTTAATTACCAAAGAGAAACTAAATTTACCAGTGGAAAAATGTTGAGATTTTGAAGGGGATAGGGAAAGCTTCCACGTTTTGGCCCACAAATTAATAAGTTCTAAGTCATGGTTTGCATCTTTTACAGCCGCAAGCGAAGCTACTTGAGTTCCGATGGGAATTTTGAACGTAAGCTTAACATCATCGGCATAGAGCCAGATGGAGGAATTTTTTGATTTGAAAGGACAGTTAGGCAGGTCATTAATATAGATAGTAAACAAAAGAGGACCAAGAATACTACCCTGAGGAACCCCGCTAGGACAATCAAAAGAGGGAGAAAGAACATTATTTAGAATTACTTTGAAAGTCGGCTGAGAAAGAAAATTTTTGACGACCGAAATTACAAGTGGGCTGAGCCGGTAAGCATGCAGTTTGTGAATTAGAAGATCAATGGGAACAGAATCAAAAGCTTTTGCAAAATCTAAGAAGACGGCTTCTAGTTGGGAAATAGATTTTTCTTTTTGATCTAAAGCTTTGAAAAAGGACTTATAGGCTAAAATAAGTTGAGAAGTTGTGGATTTATTTTTAAGGAAGCCAAACTGCTGGTCAGAAAAAAAGATTGTACTTATCAAAATGTTGAAAAATTTTATCTTTTATGATAATTTCAAAAAGTTTTGACACAGGAGAAGTTAAAGAAATGGGACGATAATTAGCGAATATATTTTTGGGCGATTTTTTGAGAAGAGGCGACACAAGAGATTGTTTCCAGTAAGTTGGGACCGCAGAGACAAGCAAAATTTTATTGAAGAATTTGGCAAGAGGAATGACTAGCACTTTATGTAGTTTCTTTAGAACAAAAGCAGTAATTTTGTCTGGACTAGGCGATTTTTTGGGTCTCAACTTTTTGAAAGCAGCTTCGATGTCACTAGCTGTAAGGAGGAATTATTTATTAGAAATTTAGAAAGAAAGATTTGAAAAGATTTTTTGACTTTATCACGATGATGAAAAAGCGAGATTTTTATTTGTAATTTTACGATTACGGCTTCACCAACAAGAAATCGTTCTATTTGTCCCATGAATGAATGGTTTTAATTTTCGATTTTTAACATTAAACTTTTTTGTTTTGGCTTGATTTTGGGTCCTACAAAGGTGAATTGCAAGCGTTTTTTTCAGGTGCAAACTTGCAAAACGCTGCACCTGCCTTTTTTAATGAGTGTCGTTCCGCCACTTTTTCTGCATGCGAATCTTTGCTATTTAATTTAAAAAAATGAAAGAGGGTGAAATTAATTGGAGAAAAGGTTAAATAAAAACTTTGTACGGGTGCGTTTTGTACGGGAAGTTTTTCCTCGTCTTTTTTTCATTTCAAAAATTTTTTGAGGCAAGTATAAATTTTCTTGTTCTGTATTAAATAGGCTTTTTATTTTTGTCTGGCCCTATTTCTGAATCACTGATGGAAATCGTTGACATCACGTTCTATCCAAGCGTCCACTCATGGTTTCGTCTCTTCGCTAGTCCTTTCACTTGTCTCAACCTTTTCGGCTCATTTGTCATTTGGAAAGCCACTCCAAAACAATTTCAGAGTTTTCGACGGTCAATGTTACTTGTACAGGTTCGTTTTGTGTGCGATTAATTTTAAAAAATCTTGAAAAAACTTTTATTCTTTTACTACGGTGGATTCTAGACATGGAAAAATCGGGTCAGCATTTATCGGATCGGGTCAGGTCGAGCCAACCGGAAAACCGCGAGTGTTCGGGTCGGGTCAAGTCGGATCATCAGGGGGAGCGGGAGGGCTAACACGATTTTGACCCGACCCGATCCGATCCGCCCCAAACTCGACCCGACCCGACCCGATTTCTCATGTCTAGCCACTCTCGATTTAACTTTGTTCGATTTCGGGTCCTCCAAAGATGAATTGCCTTCTAAACGCGTTCGAGTTAAAAATCACAAATCCTGACGCCGTTATATCGTGAGCCAACGGTTATTATTGGTTTGGCCGGAAAGTCTTGTCCGCTTTTTTGAAATTTTAATTTAAAAATTATTAATTAGCCGATTAACGTGTGGTTTGCTTTAAATAAAAAAGATTAACTATTACATTTAGCTCATTTTTAGGGTAATTTGAGTCCGCTTTGAAGCAAATCCGAACGAGAATTCTCGTTTTTCCAAAAATTCTTACAATGGACATAGAATGAAACAGCTTGGTGAAATGTTAAGAAAATCTGTCTATCTGCCTAACTTTTCATTCTCTATCTTTTGTCTTTTGACACCAAAATAGATTTTTGTGAGAAACAGTGCTCAAATCGGAACCTGACAGATAGGCGGAGAAATTTTTATTTGTTGTGTCCGATTTGGATTGAGTTTCGTAAATTTTCACTAGAATCCTTCCGATTTAAGTTTTGTAACCAAACTTTTGTCATTTGTCGTGATTTTTACGGCATATAGGCCAACTGGAGAACAAAAAAGTGAAATGGATCATTTCAAGCGTTTCCCCACCCTCAAAGTACGCAAAAGTCTTAAAAACTAGGTATAAGTGCTCATTAAAGGGTCTATAAGTGTTCATTTTTACTATTCTGCTCTCTTCCTCGTCACTGACGACGAAGCCATCGTTCAATGAATTCTACTGGCACGACTGGGTGTGTTGTCTTACCCCGTAACTCTAGTCCAGGCTTGCCCCGCCCCCCAAATCTTTCTGACGATGAGTGCATCCCAAAGATAAGTATGTAAAAGTTTGAGATCAAGCAGTCATCTAGTTCGGTTAGACGTCCGATCCCGAACAAATGGGATTCTGAATCGGACGCCAGTTCATTTAGATGTAACACGTACAAATACAAATACTGAATTCATAGCAAATGAAATATTCTTGCACGTAACAAATAGTGAGTAAAGAAAAAGTTTTTTTTTTCAGTTGTAAAGCCGATTCACAACTAGAGAAGTGTTGGGGAAAGTTGATGGAGAGTCGAGAACGATGAATAAAACTTATAAACATTGTTTGTACATTGATTTTGTATTTGTTATTTGTTGCATAAAGATAAAATGTATTCTTCACTTTTACTCCATGTTTTAAAGAAAAAGAAATATTTTACAAAAAACAATTCGTCTTCTCACGGCGGCGGGATGGTTGTGCCAGTAGGGCATTTGATCTGTTCTAACTCTTTTTGCTGGTTTACATGGACCTCAAAGGAAGCTGTTAACTAACTAGTTTCAGAGTCTCACTTACCTTGCTCCACAAGGTTTGTCCTCCATCCAACGAGAAACACCCACCACTTGTCAGTTTTTTTGTTTTTCGAATAAAGCTGCCTAAACAAAAACCTATTTAGTCAGTTAAAGCTTACTAGTTGCTGGTTCTGTGCAGGTTATTTGCTATACAATTGATTAAAATGACGTATGAGGCCCCCCTTCGTCATGGCATGTTTTCTAGCTCACTGTCTGTCTGAAGTCTGATGACTTCAGACTCATCTACTATATTTTAATGTTGAAAAGTTGTAAGTGAGTAAGTGTGTGTGTCTGTCTGTCTGTTCCCAAAATTTCTCCTCAACCATAGAGTTTCTTTAAGGGAATAGTGTGTAAGTATATGTAATCGACCCATCGGAACACGGGAGAAGTTTTAGATTTTTAATTGGACAACGTTTTCAGGGGTTAAATTTACTATTTAGGGAAGATTGAAAAACCGACCGATATTTTGAAAAGAATGAATGAGAGTGGGAAACCCAAAGGCTTTGAAATTAAAATTGTTAAATGCAAATATCGTTTGGGTACAGAGTAAGGTGTTTTGAGCTGAGTAAACTGCTCAAAACGGCTAATAGTATCATAATATTGAAGAATGTAATAATATTCTATGTAATAATGTATAAGAATATGGTTTTTAATAGCTATCACACATACTAAAGTACTAAACGTCAATCAGTTTAATCGCTCAACTAAAACTTACCCGATTATCATACTAAACAAACAGGGATTGTTATAGAGCCAAAGAACGGTTTGATCTTCTAGGAATTCGAAATTTTCAAAATTCTAGGGGCATATGAACCGGTCTAATATTAAGATTCGATAGTGATTTTTGAATGCAAAATAAAAACCAACCACTCAGCAAATAGGTCCTATTGATGTTCAATTTGACTCCACAAAGAGTCGGTGAAAGCAATCGAGAGGAAAGAGTTGCACCTCCCTAATAATTTCAGTAAACCAAAAACTTTCCCCAGCTTACCCTAAAGATCTCCAAATGATTGACGGTGTATATGTTCTCGGTTTCTCCCTTCCAAGTGACCTGTTTCACCGCAAGCACTTCTCCCTTTGAGACTAAAAAAAGTTGAATTCGAACTGAAACCATCTATTAGGTTGTCCGGAAAGTCTTATCCGCTTTTTTAAAGGTTACTTTTTGAAATTAATAATGAACCAATCGATCTATAGTTTGTTTTATCAAAAAGCCCTATTATTTATTTACAAATTGTTCTTTAAGAAATTCTGAAAAGCTTACGTTAGTTAATTTTTTAAAGATCAAAAGTCGAACAGTCAAAAACGATAAAACTCAAAGTTCAGATTTGAGCACTTTTTGTCATAGAAACCTATTTTGGTGATAAAAGACAAAAAATAGAGAATGAAAAGTTAGGCAGATAGACAGATTTTCAGAACATTCCATGTTCATTGTAAGGATTTTTGGACAAACAACAATTCCCTTCGGATTTTTGCTTCAAACGGGTTCAAATTTGCCTAAAAATGAGCTAAATGAAATAGTTAATCTTTTTTATTTAAAGAAAGCCACACATTGAACGGCTAACTATTCATTTATTTCAAAAAGACGAAAACATTTTACTAGAGTTTTTGTGACTAGCTAACAATACTCACTCCATTGCTGTTGGCAAGCTTGTTCCATGAAATTTCCGGGATGGAATGGGCAAAAACAGACGTCAATTGTTGGGACCGTCGTTGTTGTTGGTGGGAGTGGATCGGTGATCGGACCTGTTTTTACATCTGATTGTTCATCAAATAACATCATGCCTGTGCAATACCTAATAATTTTGAAAAAAATGATCTGGAGAAGAAAGGACAAGGGTCCGAAATTTAAATTGTTAAATTCAAATTTCGTTGGGGTAAAGAGAAAGCCGTTTTGAGCTGCGTAAGCTGCTGAAAACGGTTTTCTGTCGTACGTGGGAGGGGACTTGACCTCTCATCTTCTAACATTCTAAAACCCCACCAAATGCGATTTGATTAGAATGTGTGGAGTTATAATTTACGGAGTTGACCATCAAGAACTATGCAAGCGAAAAGAATTCATTGAATTGAATTTGAATCTTTTTTCAGGAAAGAACTTAATGAATTGGCATTACTTTCTTGTCAACCTATCTGGTAAAAGTTGTTGATTTTCATATTTTGCTGTGGGTCGTCAACTAATAAAGATCAGTTAAAACATTTTTTTGCAAAATATTTTATTTCTAGTACTTACCCATTGCCAGAAGACATGTGACTTCAAAGGTGACGAAAACAAAAAGAGATGATAACATTTCTGGCTGGTAAACTTTATTGCAATTGAAGCTATAGAGAAGGTTTTTGCTTTAAAGGGAGATGAATGTGAAATGAAATGCAAATCCTCCCTTGTTGTTGCAAAACATTTGTCTGTTTACGGGAGCAATGAAACACTACAAATAATCCAAATCCTATAGTATTTGCATTTTTTCTTCTGAAGCCGATAATCAGTGGTCAACGATTATGAAGTTAACCAATTATCAAATAACACAAAATCGTTTTCCCAAAAAGAACTGGGCTCATGGTGGAGGATCTGTGAATATCTAGGGTAAGCTTATATAAGTGTCCAGTCTTGAATTGTTGAGTTTAGGATGTTTTTCGAGTGATGGTGTTGGTTCCCTTGTCCAGGGGCACGGAATCATGAACGCAGCAGTCGATCCAGACATTTTAAACTCAAATCTACTTCGACATGCTCGCAACAATTTGGAGAATGACTGGATTTTTATGCAAGACAATGACCCAAAGCACACTTCTCGGCTTGTTCAAAAATGGTTAGAGGAAAAAAGAATTGAGATATCGAAGTGGCAGCTCAAAGCCCAGGCTTGAATCCACTTGAACATCTTTGGAAGGTATTAGATCGCCGAATTCACTTAAAAACATACACAAAAACGTCAGACCTGGTGGAGGGACTCTGCAACTGAAAAGATGATTTTACTGAAAGCAAAGAAAGAAAATAATATTTGATAAAACAAGAAAATGTTCAATTAAGTTTGTTTCTTATCCAATTTTTGGCATTCTCTCCCATTGAGCTTGCAATTGGGCAAAGTAGTCGTTCTGATTAGCGCCCGTGTACATCTCCTGAAAAAATGGGAGATTTTTGAAAAGAATGTTGATTAATTATTATTAATTTATTGTAACATTATATAATACAGCCAAACTCGTTAACAAACTCCTCAATAATAAACCATAATAAACAAAACTATTAGGTTGAACCGAATGGAAGCGCCGCAAAATCTTTTGTCGTTTAATGTTAATTGCTGGTTATTTAATCAATATATTTTTATGTTACTGAAAACCTGTTTGGTTTTAAAAACTCAAGTTTGGAACATGAGCAATGAATCTTTTCAAGTCGTTGTAACGTAAAGTTTTGAAATTTTTTGGGTAAATAATATCCACTATTCAGAAACTGATGCCGTTAGTTTGAATGTAATTTTGTGAAACTTTTTGTTTCCAAACCTTTCCGTGAACATCGACAACAAGTACTTTCTTGTCATCTGACTTTTTCCCGTGCTCCTGTTGATAAACCCTGAAATCAGTTTTTAATGAACAATTTTATCAGTGCTTTCTTGTCATCTAGGTATTTTTATTATTATATAAAGTTTACCGTTTATCCTTTACCGAGTTTATCGCTCTAATAAGTGCCGTACCTGAGACTTAATGGTAACTTGGTAAATTCCTGTGGGAACCACAGGGATTTTTACTGGAAATCTTTCGAAGGTCCGACACAAGAAAGCTTTTTCCTTTCTAATAGTGCTTTATGTATTTTAGATAAGAAGCTTTCATTTGAAATAGTTTTTGAGCAAAAACGACTTTTTGAACTATGTGAGGACCCTTACCTACTTTTCGGAGATCGAAAAAAAAGCGCCGCGGCACTTATTAAAGGAAATTCGGTATCTATTCTCGTACCGAATATCGTGAATCTTCTGACAGAAAATTTTCTTTGAAAGCTTGTAGATCTCGCGATTGCAACACAAACAAAGCACACTGAACATGAAATATTGCCTAAATTGTAATTGATTTTTATTAATGATATTGGAGTACAACGCTAATTGTACATTCATTATCATTCCGAGAAGATTCCGAAGTGACCACGATGTACTTGAATAGTGAATGAGGAAAAGGAGAGCATAGAAAATGTTGTTGAGAGCTGTGTGTACTATGTAGATGATGATCACCTAAATGATGAAAAATGTTTTAAAAGACTTTTTCAAATACATTTTCTTACGAGAATTTTGTTCTACTTCTCTCTAAAGGTGTTCGTGTTGAGTAAAAGCTTTATATCCCAATAAGACTTGTCTTGGACTTAATTTGCATTTGTTTTAGACCCAGAAGCCTAAAGCAACGAAGAAAAATCATTTCATATTACAGGGTACTCAATGTTTATAAAGACTTTTGAGATTGAAGGTTGTTCAGTGCTTCCAGAATTGGTTTATGAAAAAATCATTAAGAAAGCACTGAATTACAGAGTTGGGACAAAGGTGAAATGCTTATTTACCTTTACTGTTTACTCAATTTGTTATGTGGAAAACCGATTCATTGGAATTCGATCAAAAAATTTCACCAAAAAAAGTTAGATTCGAGTTGTTCTTGCTTAATGATAAGAAATTCTTCACTATTTACCATTTTTCAAACTTTTAGACATTAAAAATGTTGGAATCATATTTCAGTTTTGATTCTTTCAAGAAAAGTCAACATAATTTTGAGACAAATTCAATTTATCCGACCTCCACAGAAGTTTCTAGACTCCCTTCTGATGATGCTGATTTGCTATCGCCACCGCCACGAGAAGCAGCGAGAAGCCAGGAATTGCAAATTTTGTTTATCAACGCGAATGGCAAGAATTTTGAAAAAAAGTTATTTAAACTTGTTAAAGTATATGTGTTTGATCTGTTTGTTTCTTTTTTTAACATTAGATTTGTACAAAACGAGCTTTAAACCTAGTGATCTATTGATTTTCATAAATATTGAACACCCTGCACTTATTTTCGTTCACATGGCTTTGTCGTTCTTTTCGGTTCTTTCTGATGATACCGATTTGCTATCACCACCGTCACGAGAAGCAGTGAGAAGCCGGGAATTGCAAATTTTTTTGGGGATATAACCGATAAGCACCGGATTTGCTTACGAGAATTTGGTTCTACTTCTCTCTAAAGGTGTTCCTGTTGAGTAAAAGCTTTCGATAAAAAATGCTTTCTTGTCAATGTTTTGGCGTTAACTATGAAATGCCACAATAAAAAGCATTTTGTATTATAAAGTGCTTTTTAATGTGGCACTCACTTTTGTTGCCTTCACATTGACCGTCAGTTGATATCGCTTGCTTAATGTGTAACCCGTTGAGTGAAGTTTTTGACGTCGTCTTTCGTTTTCGTTTACAACAAGATATAGGACCTATAAAATGTCATCTATTTTAAAAAAAATTGAAACAATTACACCAATCAAAAGCTTTAACCTCTCTTCAAAAAAGATTTGAAAACTCTTAACGAAAATTTTTGTAATTTGCTCAACTTCTTTAGAGACTGATTATTCAATTAACTAGAGATATATTAGGTTGGCCGGAAAGTTCTTTCCGGTGTAGCCGTAGTTTTTCACGTGGAAAGATCTTTCAAAACGTCGAGGAAACGCGCTTGTCACTCACTCAGTTTTCCGATTCGAAGCGACGTAAGTTTTACCGCCGCGGAATCTATTTGTTGCCGGATAAGTGGCAGGATGTTATTGATGTTGACGGTGAATATTTCGAGTAGATAAATTCTGTTTTTTATTTGGCGTTTTTGATGCGTAAAATAAAAAGTTAGATCTAGCGTCAAAAAACGGAAAGAACTTTCCGGCCAACCTAATACTTTTATTAAAAATGTATTTTTTGAGTCAAACTTAACAAAATTTGATTAAATTTGATTAAATTTCAATTTCTCAAATAATTTTTGATTAAAAAACTGTAATGTTCTTTACCAATCCAGTCAAGACAGAGTTTGCGATCTCAAAGTAAATTGCGAATTTCCGTGAGTAGAAGAGAAGAGCTAAAGAAGAGAAAATTCTTAAAACTCTTTAAAATTTACCGAAAGTATAAGAAATTGTGAGCAAAATAGCAACAATAATTCCAAATGGAATCAAGAAGAGAAAAAACGGTCGAAAGTGTCGATGCTCGTAGGTGGCGAAGAAGATTGTGGCGATGATTCTCTCGATCATACACCCAAGAAAGCCAGCTGGACATTTAATTACACTTGTTTAAATAAGTTTTTTTTAAAGTTCTTATTTGGCTCGACTAAAAATATCTTTAAAACTTCAGCGATAAAGAAAGTTTCCAAAGTGAGCTTCTCTTCGGTAATCGTTTGTAATAGGAAACGGTAGAAACTAGCTGAATATCTTTAGGAATAACAAATAATTTATCAGGGTGTAAAGAAAATAATGCGCGCTTCGAATTTCTCGGTGCTGACAATTTGCCAAGTGTTTGCTTACGTAATGTTTGCTTACGTAAAAATAATTCGCACGAGATGTATAATCATTTCCCTGTTCACTTCGCTAGTGGTTTTTACTGCTTTTACGCATTTACGCTTCGGGAATTAGTAGAATTTTTTGAGGTTAGCCATGTGACAATTGAAAGCCATTTGCATCAAGGTTCGAAAAAGGTTCGAAATTAAAAATGGGTCGCCAGTGGTTTTTACTGCAAAAAAGTGGATGCCAACAAGCTCGTGCTTCGAGTTGCCACGCTCTACGATTTCAAACAAGGAAAAAACCCTGCTGAATCTCACCGTTCAC